AAATAATTTCATTTTTAGGTGAAGACCTTAAAGCTTTATAATTATAATCAATCTTAGTTACCTTGTAATAAATTCTAAAGATTATCTGTATTGGTCCTGACTCCTCATCTAATATCTCATCTGGAATTTTGACATACAATTTTAAAGCATTACAAGTTTTGTCATTTCTAATATTCATTGAAAAATTTGGATAACAATTAAAAAAAGCAGGACCATCATGCATGTTGCTTTCTAATATTGTTATTATTGAATCATTAAACTGTTTCATTCTAAGATCTCCAAGTAACAATAATATGGGACTATTAACTCCTAATCTATAATTAGGTTTTGCTGCTACTTGAATTAATCCTAGGTGTATAAAATTATACCCCTTTCTAATGTGCTCATTTAAAACTGTTTGTTCTAATAAATTAATAATCTTGTTAGTCTTTGTTCCTGGATAACTATATTCTAATATATGAACTTCATCTTGATTAGTAGACCATATACTATGTTGTTTATAAATTTCACATTTTTTAACTAAAGGTATTGACCAATTATGGAGAGATTTTTCTATTTCTACTATTCTAAGCTCTTGTTCTATCATGCCTTGTGAAGTTGATGAGGATGCATCTTGTTGACTAGGATTCCTAATAACTACTTGATTGTTTTTATTCTTTAATCCTAAATTACTAATAGAATCAAATAACCTTGACATTTTTTACGCTTCTTTTACAGGTGTAACAACTTAGCCTCTATCCATGGCTGACCAACGGACTCACTACCACACTTGGGTTTTACTGCTGAGACTACCAACAAGAGTGTATAACCTTAACTACTACTCCCCCACAAAGAAGGTTAAAAATGACAAGATTATAAGAAACTATTGAGCAAAGCAGGATTTAGAATAAGAAGGTTAAAAATGACAAGATAACAAGAGTGTTAATAATGCTATTGTGAAACAGTAATGGAGATTGAGAATTAATGGCTTCTAAAAATGTTGTAGATTTTGAAGGTAATTTTGCATTGAAAGACTGTGGTAACTTTCTTGAAGAACTTGGCGATGCCGATAATGGTCTTGATGCTTCGGACTGAGCCGATTTAACAGTATTGTTGATTGGAGCCTTGAAAGGCGTCCCATAAAGCAATCTAAGAATATACTTGTTCTATCAAAACTCTTTGTGCAATTTGTCATCATTCAGAAATCTTTGTAAGTATTTCAAAAAATGATTATCTTACTTGAGCATGGTCATATTCATATTACTTATTCCAATTATCGTAGTTTTCATATTACTATCACTTTATATAAATACAATAGTCCGTCTTTAGAAATTATTACGCTGCCTCTTTTGGTATCAGAGCCTGATACCACTTATTATTAATATAAATTGATCATAACTAGGAGGCTCTGCCACCTTTCTTTGATCTAATTTATATTATTAATCATAATCTATATCCCCCCAAAGAAGATCAAAATATCAATATTTATTGAAAACAAATAGCAGAATTATGAGCAAAAACTTGAAACAATACAAACAATTATGATTAATAATATAAATTAGATCAAAGAAAGGTGGCAAAGCCTCCTAGTTATGATCAATTTATATTAATAATAAGTGGTATCAGGCTCTGATACCAAAAGAGGCAGCGTAATAATTTCTAAAGACGAACTATTGTAGTTATATAAAGTGATAGTAATATGAAAACTAGGATAATTGGAATAAGTAATATGAATATGACCATGCTCAAGTAAGATAATCATTTTTCGATATACTTACAAAGATTTCTGAATGATGGCAAATTGCACAAAGAGTTTTGATAGAACAAGTATATTCTTAGATTGCTTAAACACTCGATGCTTACAACTGAAGAGAGAGTCTCCTTATATACACAAACCTAAAGACTAAAATTACATAAAAGGGTAATCAGATACCCATTATTGAAGGGTAAGACAGGAAAGTATATATAATAATTTACATAAAGAAAACTATGTAAAAGTCTTTTAACTTCTTGTAGAGCCGGTAAATAAATTTCTTGAATGGCAGACCAGAGGTGGCCCACCTTTGTCTTGAAGCGTCTACAAAATAGACATCTGTCCAAGTGCGTCAGCAGGTAATAATTCTTGCTTTAATCAAACATATCTTCATTTCGAAGATATGGACTTGTGGATATTGAGTTTGAAGAGCCTGTTTCTTCAGGTTGAGAATAATCTTGAAGTGCTCTGATTAATTGGAGTCTTGCTTCGAATTCTTCTTGAGAAGTGGCTAAGGCTAATTCAGCCATGATTTTGCTCTTCTCAGCTAGAAACTGAGAATCTTTAGTAATTTTTCTTTTTTGTTCTTGATGTAATAATGCTGGAGAATTGCTTTGAGCCCATTCTCTGATTCTTGATTTACTGATTAAATTCATGTCAAACTTCTTCCACCATTTTAATTTTATACATCTTGATAATATTTTTAAAGGAACATTGTCATAAGGTTGTCTAAAAATGTAATCCCAAGTAACGATCCAAGTAATATTCTGAGATGCAACAAAAGTAATCATCTTGTAGTTTGGTAGAAATGATGTAACTTCTTTGAAATAATCAAAATTTTCTGAGACTTCTTGAGGGAATAATTCCCTAATGGGTCCCCATGTATAAAACCATTGGAGAAACCACTTGGGAAATTTTAATGAGATTCCTCTGCAAAACCAGAAGAACCATGAATGAGTTTTGGGTTGAAGATATAGCATGTAAGTCCATGCCATGGTATAATCATAATAAGTGTAAGTTTGAGGTTGAAACTGTCTTGAAAAGGATTTTGGTTGATAAATAGGTTGTCTCCATTCTTCAGGTGTCATAATTTAGAGAATCTTGGCTTTGGAATAAATAATATTATCGTCTTTATCTTTGGAATGGAATAATTCTATTGAGTCAGAATCAACTAAAATGAATTCATAGAAGATTCTGGGTTTTAAGAAATTTTGATGATGAGTGTCTTTTGGAAAAATGGTATTGATTAATTGATCTCGAGATAGGTCTTTCCCCTTAGGTTCTATTGGCAAAATATCAATAAAGGTATCTTTGGTAATATATGAGTCATCATAGGATCGAGAATTTGATGGTGTGGTTATTGGGTTTGTATTGTGGGTAATATTTTTAGATAAGTTTTGAGAAATTTGTCTTGAATGAGAAGGTATGGAGCTAGGTTCAGGGGTATGTTGTAGGGCGGCTATTGGGTCAAATTTATTGTGAAACAGTAATGGAGATTGAGAATTAATGGCTTCTAAAAATGTTGTAGATTTTGAAGGTAATTTTGTATCGAAAGACTGTGGTAACTTTCTTGAAGAACTTGGCGAAGCCGATAATGGTCTTGATGCTTCGGACTGAGCCGATTTAACAGTATTGTTGATTGGAGCCTTGAAAGGCGTCCCATATTGATCTTTAGAGCTTTTGCTCATTTTCCTGTAAAAACTCTCTTGTCAAATAATCTGGTAAAGTATTTGTCTCTCCTTTGATATGTTCAATCTCAAAATCGAAGCATGATAATAAAGCTTGCCATCTAGCAAAAATATGTTTTGAGACTAAGTTTTTAACATCTTTTTGTAAAACTGATGGTGCTGCTTTACAATCGGTTCTAATCAAAAATATTTTTGAAAATAAATCATCTTGAAATTTTTGAAGACATAAGACTATTGATAAAATTTCTTTTTTAACAGTTGAATACTTTTGTTGGGCTGGATGCCAAATACCTGAATGATACCTGACAATTTGTTCTTTTGATGATGATAAATTTTTTTGTTTAAGTATCCCCCCATATCCTAAGTCTGACGCATCGATTTTGACAATAAGATAAGCTTCTGAGTCAGGAATTCCTAAACAAGGTAGTTTTTTGACTATTTGTTTTGCTTTTTTGACTATTTCTATCATGCCATTATTCCAAGGGTTTGGATTTTTTCTAAGACGGGTGTATAGTGGGGCACAAATAATTCTAATATTTGGTATAAAGTCTGTTACATAATTAACACATCCTAAAAATCTTTGAAGTTGAGTTTTATCTTTTAATTCATTTGGAAATTTATTGGCAAACTCTATTGACCGTTGAATTGGAGTAATAGTTCCTTGATAAATTTCATATCCTAAAAATCTAATTTTAGTTTGAAATATTTTAATTTTCTTAGCTGAGACTACTAATCCGTTTTCTTTTACTAGATTAATAAATATATGCAAATGATCTATATGTTGGTTTACAGAATTTGAAAATATTAATACATCATTAAAATATATTAATGCAAATTTCATACGAGGATAATGATGAATTTCATAATATGTAATCATAAAATTTACTTACATACGATTTCAATGCAAAGTTATATATGAATAATATATTTGTCCATTAAAGATCTTCCTTTTATTAACGTGGGTGAAATTCTTTTAATATGAATGTTTCCATATGTGTATGTATCCTCATATTTGTAAGCAATTGAAATCATTTAATATGTATAAAGGTTTCAATTGTTTTTAATGTGTTTGAACGATCATAAGATTTTTTTTATTGAAATTATTTATTTTCATTCAATTGAATGATCAAGTCATTCACTGTGCGAAAGTTTTTTTTCTTCTTTCTTATGCAAATTGTTTTAATACTATTTGAAAATGAATATGAAATATTAAATGAAATAAATATAAATAAATTTATTTTTAGAATAAGTAAATTCTTCTTTTTATCTCTTTCTCTTTATATATCTCTCTATGTATTCTCCTGCTCTCTTGTATTTTGGTCGGTCAATGAATAATATAAATATATTTTCTTTTATATGCATAACTCTGATAATACGTTTCATAACAAATTATTTTCATCACCAATTAATAATGCCATATGAAGATAAGATAAGAATTGTGGTTGGTAGAAATGAATCGTTCATATGAAATTTAAAGTGAAGTTATCTTTTCACCCCAAAAAAGTTAAAGCGACGACCACTTCTGTTACCCATTATATAAACCTACTACCCCACTTATTTTGTAACTTCTGATGCATCAGTCTCATCATTCTCTCGCTTTTTCTCAAGACTAATAATACACCATCCATATCCTTCAATTCACTTTACTTACCTTATCAACACATGTGATCATATTTCTTTCATTAGCATCTTCTCCTTTCATCACATTCAGTTTATTCCTTGCGGTTTGGAAAATCACAACATGCTCATGCAGTTCGAAGTACGGAGGTTTGTTGCTTTGTTTTTAGCTTATATCAATCTATATATTGACTCATTTTTCACTTAAGAAATTTCTCCTTACAATGATCGATATATATATGCCAATTTCATGATTGAATCCAATTTCAACTGTTATGGATTTCCCAGATGAACAAACCGTCTAAAGTGTTAGCCTCTTCTTAGTAGTCGATAAAATAAAATAAATTATATAAGTAATTTTTCAAGTACCAAAAGTTATGTGCTTACTAGTTTCTTAAAATAACTTTTCAAGTATTTATCTTCTGCTTGCTATACTTGTATTGTTAGATTTATATAGGATTATTAGAGTTTGAATACCTTTTTTTTTGCATACTGATCGAGTTTGCAAAAGTAACTTTCTCTTTATATATTTTAAACTGAATTTCAAGATAAAATAGAAGCAAAACTCAGTTCATAATTCGACTCAACTGAAAATTAAATAAAAGACTTTTTTATTTTTCCTTTTAAATGTATATTAGGCTTATTAACTGATAAACATACGCTTATTTTTGTTTTAAAATAGACACTATATCTTATGTTTATCTTTTGTGTGAGTATATCTTTGATATAAATTGATCATAACTAGGAGGCTCTGCCACCTTTACTTGAATCAATTTATATTGCATTTAAAATGATAATGATATTATTAGAATAAGGATATATTCGTATTACTTATCATGAAGATCCATATCCTCGTTATTCAATTAATATTCATCAATATGAAACTGCTTTTTTTTTTAGGGTTTTACCCAATAAACAAGATTTAATTAAAAGAATAACTCATGCAACCCTATTTTCAAAATTTGATATGAAATCTGGTTAATATCAAATTGGGGTGAAGGAAGAAGATAAGTACAAAACTGCTTTTAATGTTCCTTTTGGACATTACGAGTGGAATGTATTACCATTTGGTTTAAAAAATTCCCCTTCTGAATATCAAAACATTATGAATGATATTTTTTTATCCATATATGAAATTTTCCTTAGTATATTTAGATGATGTATTAATATTTTCGAATTCTATTAACCAACACATAGAACATTTAATTTTTTTTATTAATTTAGTAAAAGAAAATGGATTAGTAGTTTCTGCCAAGAAAATTAAAATATTTTCTACAAAAATAAGATTTTTAGGTTATGAAATTTATCAAGGAACTATTACTCCAATTCAAAAGATGAATAGAATTTGCCGATAAATTTCCAAATGAATTAAAAGATAAGACCCAATTTTAGAGATTTTTAGGTTGTGTCAATTATGTAGTAGACTTTATTCCCAATATTAGAGTTATATGTGCTCCACTATATGCAAGACGGAGAAAAAATCCCAAACCTTGGGACCCAGAAATGACCCAAGTCATTATTAAAGTTAAACAGATAGTCAAAAGATTACCCTGTTTAGGGATTCCTGACCCAGAAGCCTATCTTATTGTCAAGACAGATGCCTCAGACTTAGGATATGGGGGTATTTTAAAGCAAAAAGTTTTATCAAAAGAGCAAGTTGTCAGATATCATTCAGGTATTTGGCATCCAGCTCAGCAAAAGTATTCAACAGTCAAAAAAGAGATTTTATCAATAGTTTTATGTCTTCAAAAATTTCAAGATGATTTATTTTCAAAAATATTTTTGATTAGAACCGATTGTAAAGCAGCACCATCAGTTTTACAAAAAGATGTTAAAAACTTAGTCTCAAAACATATTTTTGCTAGATGGCAAGCTTTATTATCATGCTTCGATTTTGAGATTGAACATATCAAAGGAGAGACAAATACTTTACCAGATTATTTGACAAGAGAGTTTTTACAGGAAAATGAGCAAAAGCTCTAAAGATCAATATGGGACGCCTTTCAAGGCTCCAATCAACAATACTGTTAAATCGGCTCAGTCCGAAGCATCAAGACCATTATCGGCTTCGCCAAGTTCTTCAAGAAAGTTACCACAGTCTTTCGATACAAAATTACCTTCAAAATCTACAACATTTTTAGAAGCCATTAATTCTCAATCTCCATTACTGTTTCACAATAAATTTGACCCAATAGCCGCCCTACAACATACCCCTGAACCTAGCTCCATACCTTCTCATTCAAGACAAATTTCTCAAAACTTATCTAAAAATATTACCCACAATACAAACCCAATAACCACACCATCAAATTCTCGATCCTATGATGACTCATATATTACCAAAGATACCTTTATTGATATTTTGCCAATAGAACCTAAGGGGAAAGACCTATCTCGAGATCAATTAATCAATACCATTTTTCCAAAAGACACTCATCATCAAAATTTCTTAAAACCCAGAATCTTCTATGAATTCATTTTAGTTGATTCTGACTCAATAGAATTATTCCATTCCAAAGATAAAGACGATAATATTATTTATTCCAAAGCCAAGATTCTCTAAATTATGACACCTGAAGAATGGAGACAACCTATTTATCAACCTTAATGGCTTTACAAAACAAAGATTGCATTCCAATCATTTGCAATAAAAGCCTAATACCAGTCTTCATATTTTGATAAAAGTCAATTTTCCCAAAATTGAAAAACATAATAAAACTGAACTTGTAATACAAGCCCTTGTTGATATAGGAGCTTCTTTTACATGTATATGCGAAAGCATTGTTCCTAAACAAAATATTTTCTCAAGCGAAAAGACTACCAAGACTAGAACAATGTCTGGAGATGTTATCATCAATAATAAAGAAACCAAGAATTTTTCAATTCAACTTTCCACAAATTGTGACATCTTTGGAACAAAACTTTTTATGACACGAGCAGATGTAATCAACCTGAAACCTGCTGGTGAAAAAATGATTTTAGGCCTTGATTTTATTATTGCTGAAAATAGGTCTATAACCATAACAAAAGATTACTTGATTATTTCTAATCAAGCTCAAATGTCACCCATTTTAGACGAAATTTCATCAGAGTTGCGAGCTAAGCGTGGTGATACCCCATCAATAAATGAAAAAACTACCGAATGTCCGTGCGAGATAACTGGTAGTTGTAAAATAAAAGAAGCCGAAACACAAGTAGAAAACTACAAAAACTCGGAAATACTTGACATAATTGAAGATGTCGAGAATTCTTATGAATTGGCTCTAACACAAACCGATATTGACTGTTATAACTGCATTAAGATTAACAAGGTTATAACTTTTGATAATATTCAACAAATTATTGACAGATTAAATAAATCCAGTATAATAGGAGAAGATCCTACCAGATATTGGGAAAAAGATCCTGTCATTTGTAAATTAGATATTATAAATCATGATCTTATAATAAAAACAAAAGAAATTCCTTATGGGAATTTTGAACAAGAAGAATGCAGAATTCATATAAAAGCCCTGCTTGATCTTAAGGTTATTGAACCAAGTACAAGCCCACATAGAAGCCCAGCTTTTATTGTGAACAAACACTCCGAACAGAAAAGGGGTAAAACAAGGATGGTTTATAATTATAAACGTCTTAATGATAATACCCATATAGACGGTTATACTATACCATCAAAAGATGTTTTAATAAATAGAATTTAGAAAGCAAAATGGTTTTCTAAATTTGATTTAAAATCAGGATTTCATCAGGTAAAGATGCACCCTGATTCAATAAATTGGACTGCTTTTTCTTGCTCTGAAGGACTTTTCGAATGGAAAGTTATGCCCTTTGGTTTGAAAAACGCGCCTCAAATATTCCAAAGAAAAATGGATAACATTTTTGGAGATTATAAAGATTTTACTTGTACATACATTGATGATGTGCTTGTATTTTCAAAAACAAAAGAAGAACATTTCCTTCATTTGAAACAAGTTTTACACCTGTTTGAAAAATATGGTCTAATTGTTTCAAAATCAAAAATGGAAATATGCAATACTCATATATCCTTTTTAGGAACTGAAATTGGGAATGAAAAAATAAAACTCCAGCCCCATATTTCACAAAAAATCCTTGGTTTTCCAGAAAAAATGGAAGATGTAAAAACGCTTCGAGCCTTTTTAGGTCTTCTAAATTATGCAAGAAATTTCATAAAAGACTTGGGTAAATATACTGCACCCTTGTATAATAAAACTAGTTTGACAGGTCAGAGAAAGTTTAATTCTGAAGCCATAAAATTGGTTAAAAAAATAAAATAAATTGTGAAATCTCTCCCTTCTCTATCTTTGCCATTAGATTCTGACTATCTTGTAATAGAGTGTGATGGTTGTGAATTAGGATGGGGTGGTATTCTCAAGAAAAATAAAAACAAGTTTGATAATATTACTGAAGAACAAATCTGTAGATACGCTTCAGGAAAGTATCATACTAGACCACAAGTTTATTCTACTTCAATCGATTATGAAGTAAATGCTGTTATGAATAGTTTGAAAACTTTTGAACTATTTTTAATAAACAAAAAAGAAATTACTGTCAGAACAGATTGCGAAGCAATTGTTGCTTATGGTAATTCACAAATTAACTCTGATAAGAAACCCCATAAAAGATGGCTTTTATTCCAAGAATATGTCTATCACAATGGGATTAAAATAAACTTTGAACACATAAAAGGTAATAAAAACATTGCTGCTGACATTCTTTCTCGTTTTGCAAGAATGGTAGACAATGAAGCCTTCTAAGGTTTCATATCCTGGAGTTCGACAAAAAATGAAATTTGGGAACCAAGAGCTTCCCATCTTAACAAATGAATTTCTCTACCCTGGCAGAGAAAACACAAATGAAAAGTTCAACTGTATAGTTGACAACATCTGGAATATCCCCTGATGTACAGAAACAAATGAGCAGTTAATCTTTTCAATAAAGAGAGGTATCATTTGTGCCTTATACAAATTTTGTATAACAGACAATCAAGGAGTTCCACTCCTAACAAAAGCCTCACCTTCGGGAAAAGGTTATACATTTTTTGTCTTGTTATCTGGCCCCTATAAGGGTGTTTATACAAATTTTACTGACTTGTGCACTGCCAAGGAAGCTATTCAAAATCCAAGATACAA